CTATTTTGGGGCCAAAATTGAAATTTTAATTTTTTTTGGATGAAAATAATTATAAATTTAAAATATACTACTTATAACTAATTTATAATAATAAAAAATTATAAATGTTTCTTATGATATATTCATTTTATCTTATAATTAAATTTAAAATATCTTTTACAATTTTCATTCTTCTTAATTTAAGAAGTCTTAATCAAAAAAAAATATATTTAAGAAGTCAATGTTTCTTATGATATATTCATTTATATTATAAAGGGTAAATTACAACCAACCCCCACGAAAAAACTCCTCTTGTTTGGATAAATACATCTACCCCCTCAACTATGATTTATTTTCTTGCACTTCCACCCTTACGGTGTCAAATTCAAGGTAATCATCTAGATTTCGTGGAATGTGCTCTAGTTTGTACTCGTTTTGTGTAAAAATACAGTTTCTGATGCACCACAATCTGATATATACAAGCAAAAAAAACACATATTATGATCATCTTGCTTCAAAATGTGGAGTTCGAATGGGGGATAAAACGGGTACAAAAGTGATAATATTCCATATAATTTCGAAGATTCCAATAAATTTGAAATCGCAAGGATGGACGTGTAAGAAGATTTATAGTTGAAGGGTGGTTGTAATTACCCAAACAAGAGGGGGGTTTTCGTAATTTGACCATCCTCGGGGTGGTTGTAATTTACCCTATTATAAATGCTTTTTCTCCTTTTGAGTTTTGAAAATTATTGTTTAGCTATAGATGATGCATTATTCAAATATTTGAAATAAGCTTGTTTTTAAATACTTAGAATATTGACCAATATGGACATAACTATATGGGCCTCCATGGGCTAGTGGATCGGGCCTCAAAATATTCGGACCTGGGGGGTGAAAATCAGAATGGTATTTTCTATTTTCGTTCGTATTTCGAATTCTGAAAAATTCTCAATTTTTTCCAGAGAAAAAAAATGTCGAAATTGGAAAATATACGAGATTATGAATTGAATCAGATTTTACATTTCCAAAAAATCCTGATTATTTATAAAAAGTCGCATTGATATAATGTACTTTATATTATAGGTAAATATAAAAAAAAAGTAGAGTTTTCGAATTATGCCGAACCCTATAAAAACCAATTCGATTTTGGAATAGGTTTTGACAATTCCAATTTCCAAAATTTCAGAATATTTTGTTAATGGAGAATTAGTTTTTCAATTCCTAAAAATATTGAAATTTTTCAACAAAAATGTTAATTTCGGGCTGATACGCTCGATTTCCACTCCTACGTGAGCATGTCAATAATTCTGTCCATTTCAATTTCAAACACCCAAGATAATTCAAATGTCAAATTATCAGTTGGGGGAATGTACTATTTTGAGGTCTATACTATGTTACATTGGGGTGTAATGCATCAGGTAGATCTTTATCATTCATAATTACACAAATACACACCGACACCCACATTGGTGTGTGTAGATCAACGGTCAAAATTCATCTGATGCAACATTCATCGTGTGTAGCATAAAAATAATCCTACTTTGATTGAAATGCAAACACCACTTAACGTGGGATTTAATGCTAAACGGCCGTAAAGGGCACGTTGTTAATTTCTTCATTATCAAGAACATCTATTTATTTGTTCCAAGTACAAGTATCTCGATATTTAATACTATTTCTCTAATTTAAATTGATGAAGTAATTAATGATCTCAATTCTCAATTACGAGGAGAGAGCTATATTGAGAGTGGAGTTGCATTGTAATTTGTACATTAAATATTTCAACATTTTACACTTAAACTTTCATAAATTAATACAGCTGAGATTAGCAACATTCTAAAAATTTAGTAAAATAGTAAATTATTAAATTACTCCCTCCATGTCGCAATATGTGTCGTTTTGGGTTGATGCGCACATATTAAGAAAACTAATAAATATGCGTCGATTTTAGAGAAAAATATATAAAATGACTAAAATATCTATGTTATTAATGTTGTTTCCATTAATTCTCTCTCAAATAATAAGGGCAAAATTGAGAAAATAGTAACTAATGCACCATTGAAATTCTAAAGTGACAGATAATTTGAAACAAGAAAAATTTCCCATTGCGACAGTTAATTTGGAACGGATGGAGTAATATTTATATTTTTACCTAGTCAGGACCCGAAGAAATCATTACTTGATTAAGATTATTAATTTATTGAGATTTTATTGTATATTTGTATTTAAATATGCATAGAGAATAAAAAATCACGTGGCAGAGAACACAGTCTCAGTATCCAAGTCTATTAGGAGGGTAAACAAATTGTGTTGAGACAAATCACTATTTGTTCAATTTTCTTAAGTTTTTATCAACTTTTCCAATTTATTGTTGATTTTGGTTTGATAAATATCGAGTCCAACTCAAACGAGTTTTAATCGAAACTAACAAAAATTGAGTTCGAACTCAAGTCGAGGATCAAAGCTTTTCGAACGAAAATATATATATATATTCGAGTTTGGTTAGTTAACACAAATCAGATTGAAACAAACTTTTAATGAACAATCTTATGAATTAATTATTATCCAATTTAATTTGACTTTTGAGTCCTAAATAAATTAAACCGATAACATGAACTTTGATACCGAAGAGACGAATAAAATGATACATAGGAAGAACATGTTATGTGGATATAATTTGTTTCATGTATGTTAATTAATACTAATCATTAATACCGAAATAAAGTCAAATATCCGAATTGATTACTTTCTATGTTGTTACTCCCTTCGTCCCAATTTAAATGTTGTTTTGGGTTGTTTTGCACATATTAAGAAAATCAATAAATGTGCATAGATTATAGTAAAAAAAAACAGATACAATTACTAAAATATCCTCAACATTAATTGATTCTTAACTAATTAATTAGGAGTGATTAAGGGTAAAATTGAAAATGATGCAATTAATGCTTCATTGAAAATCTAAAATGACAAATAATTTGGGACAAAAAAAACTCTCTAAAAAGATATATAAAATGAGACAGAGGGAGTAATTAACTATAATTAACTATAGTGGTTTATAAATATGTTTAGTGGGGTCCACTAGTAAATTATGATCCTAAATTTGTGAATTATATTAAGCTGGTGTTTGCATAAGTTTATTTAAAAATAAAAGATGGTGATTGTGAGGGTAATGTGGTGTTTGCAAAAGTTTTTACAAATAGATTACGAGCTGTTTTTTTTCTCTTTCATAATCTACTTTATGTGTTTGCAAAATGAATTCTTTTGCTTCTCTTAAAATATGCGATTTTATACTATAATTTGTTCAGCACCCACGACCATGTTATTTCTATTTAAGTTGATTTTCTAATAATTTTGCAAACACCTCCAACTTTTACAAATAAGCACTTAAAATCAACTTAACTCACAATCCATAACTTCTGCTTTTAAATAAAATTTTGCAAACACTACCCTAAGTGGATGTTAAGTGCTTAATTGTAAAAGTTGAGGTGTTTGCAAATATACTAACAAATGAACTTAAATAGAATAAACAGGTTTACGGGTGCTTTTAAAAAATAGATTAAAACAACTTTATTTTTTAGAGAAGCAAAAGGAAAAATTGATATTAGACACCTAAAAATAAATTATAAGCAAAAAACACTTAAAAGCTGTTTCTAAAATCTTTTGCAACCACCACCTAATTCGTTATTGTATAGAAAAAATCACAATCATCATCACAAAGTTGCTATAAAAAGATTGGATTTAACGGTATGATGGTGGATGTAGAATTTTTCATAATAATTACTAATTAGGAAAAAAAGAGGGGGAGAAATGAGAAAATGACAACATAATTATGAAAAATAAATGGGAGGTGTCGTAAATTCGAAGCAAAGATTCCAAATTAGGAGTACAATAATTAAAGCACGACGTGCTCCTCACTAATAATACTCTTTGCCCACCACACCCTATTATAATTAAAAGGGGGCTTTGCCTTTTTTGCATTATTTCATATCAAGTCATTGAGTTTTTTTTTTTTTGCCACATTAGCATATATTATGATAAACGGTAGAAATATTCTCGAAAAAAGAAAATAATATTTATATTAAAAATCACGGGTGCTTGGTTTATGAGATGCCTACTAAGCACACATACATAGGCGTGTTTGTGTGTGTTACTATGTGTAGATCGATAGTTCAAAATTATATGATGTATTTCAGTAGGTGTAGCAGCTACAGAACCTGAGTACCCCATGAAATAAACCCATCAATAAAAACTAAAATATAATGGAAACAAATATTGACGAGTATATGCAATTTACAAGATTGATAAATTTAGATAAATTTCTTTTTTAGAACTTAAAAAAAAATGAAAAAAGTAAATAACAAAAACATATTTTTTTGGGGGGCAAATTACAACCACATCCTTAAAGTACAGTATAATTACGATTAACTTCTTTTTTAGAAATTCCATCCAGCCCCTATAGTTTGTAAATTTCTTACATTCACTCCCTACAAAAGGGTGTTAATGGGGTGTTAATGTAATTAAAGCAAGTAACTATAGGTTCTAAATAAATTACAAGAAAATATTCAACAATGATTTTTAAATTCACAAATTTAAGCATCTTATTTGTTGTGTGAGACAAAAATAATATAATATAATGGGTGCTAAGTGCTAAGTGCTAATGCGTTATGGACCAAAAAACAAAAGTCATACCGAATATTGTAAAAAAACAATAAAATAATAAAAAATCAAAAAAAATAAAAAAATAAAAAAGCACAGTCATCTCTCTAGCTTTACCTTTCTGCACGCGCCTGCCTCCGAAAATCCGACGTGGCAACTTTTCCCGAGTGGGCCCCACTAATACAAAATCAAAAATTATCCAACGCCCAAATTCCAAACCTAAAACCAAGTCAAAATTATCTACTACAACAGTCGTACATTTCAGTTCAAAACACACACACACACACACACACACACACTTCGCCTAACTAATTCCAGATTTTTTACATTCTTGAAAATATAAAAACAAATTGCTGGAAAATAAAAATAATAAAAAGATTAGAAAAATAGCAGAGGGAAGAGCGCCCTCTCTCACCAGCTGTTTGCCTTTATTGCCTTTGTTCTTAACGAGGAACTTCGATTCGCTCCAAATTCCACCGCCGACCCGGCCCGGCCCGACCCGAGCCCGACCCACTTCCCAGTGACCCCTGCTTATATGTTTTTGAAGAAGTTTGAAGCTTTGTGGAAGAACCCTTTTTGGTTTTTCTTTCTTTCTTGGGGTTTACTATGGCTGAAGAGATCTGTCTCTTCACAAAGGTTAGATTTTTATTTTTCATTTATTTTATTTTAATTATTACTTTTTTTTAGTGGGATTTTAGCATTGTAAATTTTTCAATTTTATTTTTGTTTGAATGTATATTAAATATCCAAGCTTTGGGGGTGGGGGGTGGGTTTTGTTATGGGGTTTGGTTCATTGGAGTAGTGGGATTGTTTACTGGATGCAGGAGGATTAAGTTTTTTTTTTTTATTTAGCATTTTTTGGGGGTTATTTTGGAATTATTGGATAATTTCAATGTTTCTTGAAATGTTTATGTATGTGTTTATTTATCTCAACTTATTTACCATCCCTCTGCAACTTCTATGAATTTTGAGATGCTGCTTTATGAATTACAATGTCGATAAACTTAGCGACTTAAAACTACTAATTCATCGAGGCGATTTAATGAATTTGTTTTGAATTTTTATGTTTTTTGGCCATTTCCTTGTGGAGTTGTAGAAAGATCGAATCTTTAATATTTCGTATTTCAGTTATGTAAAGTTTTAATGAATTTGTTTCGAAATGGCGTGAAGAGATTCTTAATCTATATGTTTTTTGGCAATTTCTTTGTGAACTTGTAGAATGATCGAATTTTTAACATTTCATATTTCGGTTATGTGAAGTTAAAATGAATTTTAATGAATTTGTTTCGAAATGGGGTGAAGAGATTGTTAATGTATATGTTTTTGTGGGATTTTCTTTAAAGTTGTAGAAAGATCGAATTTTTAACATTTTGTATTTCGGTTATGTGAAGTTATAATGAATTTGTTTCGAAATGGTATGAAGAGATTCTTAATGTATATGTTTTTTGGCATTTTCTTTGTAAAGTTGTAGAAAGATCGAATTTTTAACATTTCGTATTTCGGTTATGTAAAGTTTTAATGAATTTGTTTCGAAATGGTATGAGGAGATTCTTAATCGATATGTTTTTTTGGCATTTCGTTGTAAAGTTGTAGAAAAATCGAATTTTTAACATTTCGTATTTCAGTTATGTGAAGTTATAATGAATTTTAATGAATTTGTTTCCAAATGGCGTGAAGAGATTGTTAATGTATATGTTTTTTGGGGATTCTCTTTGTAAAGTTTTAGAAAGATCGAATTTTTAACATTTCGTATTTCGGTTATGTGAACTAATAATGAATTTTAACGAATTTGTTGCGAAATGGGGTGAAGAGATTGTTAATTTATATGTTTTTTGATATTTTCTTTGTAAAGTTGTAGAAAGATCGAATTTTTAACATTTCGTGTTTCGGTTATGTGAAGTTATAATGAATTTTAAAGAATTTGTTTCGAAATGGCGTGAAGAGATTGTTAATGTATATGTTTTATGGCAATTTCTTTGTAAAGTTGTAGAAAGATCGAATTTTTTAACATTTCGTATTTCGGTTATGTGAAGTTAAAATGATTTTTAACGAATTTGTTTCGAAATGGGGTGAAGAGATTGTTAATTTATATGTTTTTTGGGATTTTCTTTGTAAAGTTGTAGAAAGATCAATTTTTTAACGTTTCGTATTTCGGTTATGTAAATATGACAGGATACCCTAATTATAAAGCCTCCGAAGAGACCTCCGGCTTCATTACGGATGTTAGTATTGATATTCGCTATGGTCTGTGGCGTATATATTTTCTCCGTATGTTTAAAGCAAACAAACATTCACACAAATACGAAGTTCCTTAAAGTCGAAGTCGGTAATCAGAGGCGTTGTCTCGATAATTCTATCGATAGATCTCAAATCCCGTACTTGCACTACCCAAATCCTGTCTCGTTTAACAGGCAAGCCATTTGATTTAATTTAATTTAATTAAAAAATAAATCTTGAAGAATTGGTAAGAGTACTAAGATGTTTTTCTGTCTTATGTATGATAGAAATGAATGTGCGTGTAATCCCGTTCGGCTTTTCGCTATTCTGTCGATGCAAAGATCGGGAAGCGGTTGGTTTGAGACTCTATTGAATAGTCACACTAACGTGAGCTCTAATGGCGAGATATTTTCGGTTAAAGAGAGACGGAGTAACGTTTCTTCGATCTTTTCGACTCTCGATACAGTTTACAATTTGGATTTGTTTACTAGTGCTTCCAAGAATCATTGCTCCGCTGCAGTTGGCTTCAAATGGATGCTTAATCAGGTACGATATATATATATATATGTGTGTGTGTGTGTGTGTGTGTGTGGACATTTTGAGGAAACGAAGAAAAACTGAAATGTTTTGGTTATGATAAAATTTCAAATGCAGGGGTTAATTGAGCACCACAAAGAAATTGCGGAATATTTCAACGAGAGGGGCGTTTCGGTAATTTTCCTATTCCGGAGGAATCTTTTGCGTCGGATGGTTTCGGTTCTTGCTAATTCTTACGACCGTTATGCTAAACTCCTCAACGGGACCCACAAATCCCACGTGCACTCACACGAAGAGGTAAGTAACTCTATTCCCTTTTGTACCCCACAAAAAATCGACTATATATATACATATATATGTGTATATATATTAATTATAGGATTTAATATTTACATATTTGGTTATCGTAGGCTGATACACTTTCTAAGTATAAACCGGTAATCAATTCGACATCACTAGTGATGGATCTAAAGCTTATGGAGAAGATGGTTTTGGACGCGTTGGATTATTTCAGTAGCACAAGACACATTGTTCTTTATTACGAAGATCTTATTAAAAATCCAACTGTAAGTTAATTATTTACATTTAGTATTTTCCAAGTTATAATTTTACTTATTTCTAAAATAATTTAATTCAGTTGAGCACCCGGGTTTTTTTTTTTCCCGAAAGATTTCGTAGGCATTTTTGGAAATTAAATTTCAATTTGATTATTGCAGAAACTAAGGGAAGTGCAAGAATTTATGGGAGTGCCGAAAATGGAGTTAACGAGTCGACAAGTGAAAATACATAAAGGTTCGTTATCGGAGCATATAAAAAACTGGGACGATGTTAACAGAATTCTCAGAGGAACGTCTTACGAGGTTTTTCTACATACTGACTACACTAGTTAGATATCTATCTAGTTGATCAATGCAATATGTTGATCTTCATCTTGGTTTTTTTTCCCCCTTAATTTAATGTTCATCTTTTGTTATTTTACTTAGGTTTTTTTTTTTTTTTTTTTTTTTTAAATGTATAGGTCTGTAATTTATGTAAGGACAATGCCAATGTAATGTGACATTTGAAAGGAATTTTGGTATTTTGCCTTTTCAAAATTAGTGTTTAGTCCTATTTTGCACCCTTGAAATATAGTTCTTTGGCACTTTACACCCCTCGAAACACAATAAATCACGCATAACGTATCCCGAATGAATACACTGTTCTAAAAATTGGTGAAAATCGGTCGACGCGGTTAATTAATTGGTCGCCGAGGCGGAGGCCAATCAAAATTTTCACGATGTTGGTGTAAATGTTTGGAAATTTGATTTTTGGTCTGTGAGGTGGTCCGATGCGGGTCGAGCCTTTGAGGTAAAAATCGTGGAAAATTAGGAAAAAGCCGATTTTTTTTTTAAAAAAGATATATTTTTTTTTTCAATAAAAAGAATTTAGGTCTTCCCTTTCTTGACTTTGTTCTTCTAAGAAAGAAAGAACGACGCACTCATCGACAACAGCCAAAACCGGCGGCGACACTGTACAATCGACGAGGATATATAGAATAGTGTTTAAATGATAGGGATATAATCACGTTTAAATATTATCATCTTATTATTATGAAACTTTTGTTATGTGATTTGGATACATAAATGATGGATTAAACTATCATTTTATATATGTTTCGAATATTTATAAATAATATTTAGAAATATATTTACACTAATTCTGAAAAAATTAATTTATTTTTGATTTATCACCGATGAATTACCGCTTCGCCGATTAATCGTGAGCGGTGTCTAACCGCCTCCGACACGACTCACGCTTTTTAGAACCTGGTTTAAATCCGAAAAAGTTACGATTCTATTTTTGTATAATCATATCAATTTCTTACAACTCATCGAAATTATGTATGACTTTTTTCAGTTCAGTCAATTTTTATTATTTTAAAATCGGTCATATCTTTTATATTCGTTTATTGAATCTCCTTGCCGATGATCGATACGTGCAGCTTGTCACACCTGGTCAACCTAGTATGATTTACGACTCTCGTATAGTTTCCAAACTGTTATACGATAGTATAGATTTACTCAGTGCACCTATATAATTGGCTGTGAGTTCTTTCGTTACCGAAGAAAAAAAAAAAAAAGGAGAATCATATTCCATTTGTCTATGGGCAAACAAAACAAGTACAGACAGAAATGATAGATACATTATTTTGTGTTTCATCACAAGTACTGCTTTACCTCCTAACCAAACAATATATGGAATCACAGTATCTAAATTATATTTTGAGGGCCTCTAACAATCTCTACAGATGGACATGCATTAAATCCATGTCCATTCAAAAATTAAACATGGGCAAATATATATATTCTATGTTAGATTCAGTGATTTTCATCAATCATCGGGTGTAAACGGGTGGCGGTGAGATTCGAATTCGGGTTCTTTCATTTCATTTGACTCTGATACCATGTTGAATGACCACCTCAATCAAAAGTTTAAGCCGTTATTGAAATATATCATTTAATAATAATTATCTCCAATAAAGACATAGAGGTGTAAAACGGGCCGATCAAAATGAATAATTTTGATGAAATTCTATTTCTTGGAAAAATAACAAATCGAAATGAATATAACATTTTCTCTCAAACTTTAAAAAGGATGTGATAAATGTCGTTCGAGTTTTAATAATATCGTTTCGACTTCAAACGCGATTTTGATCATCTTTCACTCAAAATTTTGCAAAATCGGATGCAAAGAGTTTGTAGTTTTTTTAGTTTGCTTTTTAATCCAACTTGAATCACCAAAATTGGATGTCGGGTGAGAAATATATACATTATTCAATAAACACTGCCCACAACTTTGATATATCGCGTAATTATCTAAAATTTAAATTGTGACTCATTCATGCATAATTTAGTCACACGACATCCAATCTAGCTGATTTAAGTTAGATAAAAAAGCTAACCCAAATGACTACAATTTCGTGTTTCGAATTTTACCAATAGCAAACTAGAAATATGTCAAAATCATCAGGTTCAAAATCAAAACAGTATTAGTAAAATTGAAACGAAATTTTGACATTTCAGAATTTAAAACCATATAGGAATTGGTTAACTTTACAAAATTTATTTCCAATTTCCAACATAACCTAAAATATATAATATAAATTACTACTATTATAAATATATATTATTCAGAAAATTAAACTTTTTGGAATTTATGACACAAGTACAAAAGAAAATAAGAAATTGGAATAGATACCCCAAGACTGATCACTATATATACTAACACTTTCAAAGTGTTTCAGCTCAAAAGGCAAAAACCACTTCTAAATTTTCTTTTAATTATGGCTAAAAATTCTAAGGCTTTTCCCCTTTGTGTTGTTGTTCTTCTATTGATGATCGTGTTTCAAGAAATTACGATTTTTGCCGAGGGCAGGAATGTAATTAAGTCCAAGATATTACGCCGAAATGGACATTTCAAAGCTAAGATAGGCAGAGGAGAACACGGTGGCTCAACCTTGATGCGGCTGAGCGAGGCTGACTACGTGGCGGATTTTCGCCCCACGTCGCCGGGGCATAGTCCCGGCATCGGCCATTCACTTCATGACTGAGAATTATATTTCTGCTTAATTAAGTGTAATTTTCGCTTGATTTAATGTATTTTTTAGGATTATTTTTAATTTTTAATGTTTTTTTTTACGTAAGGACGGTACCGAAATAGATATTTAAATTTTATGTTATCAAATTTAAACGGCTTTACATCATTGTTAAAGAGGAGATGAAAAAAATAATAATATTAATAATAAATAATTTTTTTTAAAATAAAAATATGTCATTAGTGTTTCTTATGTTGCCCTAGACTTTCTTACTTTTATATAGAATGATTGTTATTATATACTAATTAAATTAGAACATACAAATATTTACTATCTTTTTGCTATTTTTTTATAAATAGCTCTTAAAAGAATTTTCGTGTGTCGCCCCAAAGGCCGAACCTCATAAACCTTTAGCCTACCGCTATATCGATTTCCGGTTTCGCCCCTACTCGAAACAATCCTTTTAGTTCTTATTTTACCAAAATATCAAAGAAAAAAGGATGGGATTATTTGATTAGTCCTATGTTTATTGGAATATGCAATGTTATAATCATACAATTTTTGTGTTCCGACGTAAATAATTGCAATCGTGATTTTTCATGTCGTAAATTCGACCTATCCGAGACAAGATGTTTGTTGATTTTTTGTTTCCCCTTTCTCCTACCATAAGATCCCTAGATTAATCTTATGTTTAATTCGAATATTCAATACGAAAAACCAAAGGGAAACAAAGGGAAAAAAAACGTTGCGAGACGAAGGCGCAAAATCATGTACGCATTAGACTACGCCACGTCATCCATAAAAATGGACCCCACAATGCCACCTAAGCCACCTGACAGGTGGAATTCAAACTCCATCAAGAGCTATCTTTAATCATATCCAGAGCTATGTGATTAGATTTTGTAGTTGTTGAGTGCAAGCAAGAAAACCCAATGAATTATTTAATTTAACTGTATTTACACAAATTAAATTAAAAACTATATATTATATTAGCATACTGTTCAACCATCATTATATTTGGGCTCCAAAAATGTATCAATGATTTTTCGCAAGAGCTCGGCTCGAAATTCCGTGCAATAGTTTGACGAATCCTAGGAAACTAAGCTTCCCGTCGGTATGTCTAATCCAATCGTGAAGAACTGCATGAACCGGAACAGACGGGCTAAGCCCGAGTTCCTGCAAAAAAAAAAATCGAATTAGATTTATATTTAATTAGACTTTCTTTTTCGGAAAAAAAAAAATCGAGTGTAAGAAGTTATTACAGAAGCTAATTCCTCAATCATGATCGTTCGATTTCCCTCCTTATCGAAGAGTTCGTAGGCGCAACGAGCATGTTGTTCCCATCGATCGAGAGCTTCTAACTGATACACACTCGATGCAGCTGCACAGAATTCTTCGAAATCCATTCTTCTATATTGAAGTGCATTAAGCTGTTATCGTAGAAAATAATTGCAATAATCAGTTATATATAAAATTAGTAAATATATTTAAAACAAAAACGGAGTTAATTAATTAGGAAATCTCACCGAAGCAATAAAATCGAAAATGCGAGACTCGTTCATGGCATCCGTTGCGTATTTCTTCAAGGCCTGTGCGGCAAATTAAACAGAAATTTGAGGATCGAGTTTTTTCGATTGAAAACAAATATATTAAATAATAGCAAAGGTATGTGAAATAGATACGAACCGTTTTAATGTTATCTAAACTTATAGTGCCGTTTTTGGTTGGCTCGAGTAGTGCAAATTGCTCCCTCAGATAGAAAAGTTCTTCTTCCGTCAGTGTTTTCGATAACGCCTGCATATATCAATTAAATCAAAAAAAATTAATAAAAGTAAGACTCGTAAAATAGAAAAAAAAAAAACAAAAAAAAAAAGACTCACCCGC